GGTTCAACCTGACTAAATTTCTTACATTAAAAAAAAACCAACAACAACACAGGTTGTATATGCTTTAGAGATTTGAATGACTTAGGTTTGCATCCTGTAAGGAATATGATAAATTTCATATTCAGGAAATGAGTGGTGATGTGTTAAAATGAAAAGCGTTCTGTAGCCATGACCTTAGATAAGAACTGGCATTGTATTGAAGATTGATTTATACAGATAGCGGATTCTGAGGGCGGTATGATCGAGAGGCCTGGGAGTCTCTATGTGCCACAAAAGCTTCTTTGGACTCTTAACAGATTAGTTAGAAATCTGAGGTGACCCCAGCTGTCCCAGCAGAGTTCAGGAGCCCTCAGGGAGGCCTCGCGCTGGCTTGCAGCTCGCCTTTTCCACTCTTGACAGAGTGTCTCCCCCTCTCCGTTAGTGTTTGCATTTCCCATGAGACATCCCGGTGTGTTTTCACCCTCTCTAACCATTGCACAGCCAGGTGAGAGGTAAAGGTTAGCATTTCTGGGCTAAACAGCTGAACAGAGCAGCTCCCTGAATGGCTGAGTCTGTGTCTCTGACGGAGATCCCAGGAGTAAGAGTTTCCCACCCCCTATAGCTTGTCCAGAAAAGTATCAGCAGCCTAGACTGCTTCTAGGGCACAGAATTTTAAATGCTGCTTGGCCACGAGAAATGTGCCTGCCAGTGACCCAGGGAGTTGCATGAAGCTTTGTGTGTAAGCCCCAGAAAGATACATTCAGATGTGGTTACAGGAGGTGGGGAACTGAGTTTCCATTTAGCAAATCAGAAATGCTCTGTGATAAGAAGGCATGGTGATTCAGGGCCACTGAATATTAATCACCATTTGCAAAGTTGAGAAGTGGTTTGAAAGGATGAATAGAGACCATGAGCATTAGGTTTTTAACATATCCTCTTAGTGTATCTAATGCTGCCAGCAAACAGGGTTTTTTTTTGGTTTTGTTTTGTTTTGAGACAGGGTCTCATTATGCAGTTCAGGCTGGCCTTGAACTCACTATGTAGCCCAGGCTGGCCTCAAACTCAAAGTGATCCTCCAGGGTCTGCCTCCTAAATGCTTGGATTACAGGTGTGCACCACCACGCCCAGCTCAACAGTCTTACTCATAGGCCCAACTCTGGTGAGTGCTGAGTCCAAGTATGGTTCAGGAAGCTTTGTGGATTGTGTTGAGGTGTATGAATACTCTACAAATCACCCCGAAGAACTGTCTACAGGGTCTGTAACTGCCTTTATTCCCAAAGATGGAGCCGTATAGGGATCTCTTTGTTCAAGGATAACCTGGGAAGACCACTTCAGGCCAGTGAACAGAAGTAGGCAAGCTCTGGTCCCCTCTTCCTGCTGGGCCCTGACACTTCTCCCCAGGATGATGGCCTTTTACTGGGGTTGTCAGTAGGGCTGTGGGGTGGATGAATCAGCCAGTTTTCCATCTCCTAGGCCCTCCTTGCTCTAAGTCTGTGGGTGAAAGCCTGAATGTGGGCCACGCCCAGCAGTGCTGGCAAGCCCTCCCCTCAGCCTTTGTCTGTGAAAGAATGTAATGAACTGCCACACCAGGACCTTAGTTTCCGGCGGTGAGTGAGCCACAGTGCAGGTGACAGCTTGCTCCCCGCACAGTGCTCCCAGGGGTAGGACCAGGCCACTCCTGAGGGATGTCCTGTTGATTGTAATATACTTCTGTTGCCAAATAATGGTACTATTTAATTTTCCATAAAAGGGAGATTATATTGTCTGCTATGTAATGTTCATGGGGTTCTAAAAATAACTAGACTTTATTATAAGTTGTAGAATTACGTATTTGTCTAAGGTTTGATGAAGCGGGGCCAAGAATATTAGGTTTTTGTTTAAAAGAAGCTGAAGTTGTTTTGCTGTTTGAGTGTCACTTTGACACCTATGTGTGAAATGTTAAACTTCATCTCTCAGATTATGGTAACTGGGTTCTTTTTTTGTTTTGTTTTGTTTTTTTAAACCAGTAGCAACACCAGTAAAAATGGCTATTCCTGTGCATTCTGAACCTAAAGAGAACAGTTCCTCGGTCACTTTGACCTGTATGGTTTAAATTCACATAATTCACGAATAAAATAAGAAAAGGCAACCTTGCTACAGTGGATTATTTTGGTTCCTTTCTGCCCTGCCTCCTCACGGGGTCCACAGCAAGTGAAACCCCTGCGAATGCTGCCTCTGTATTTCCTTTGCCTACAGAAAAGGCTGAAGTTGTGCAAGGAAAACTATACAAAAATAAACCTAGAAAGTAAAACAAACCAACAACACTTTCTACTCTCCTACGCCTTCTTCAGATGGATGTTAGCACAAGTGGAAATACACTGCTTGTGCCAAGCATTTAATCTGAGAATAAGAGAAATTCTTATTTTCATGTTGCATATGATGTGATCAGCTAGGGGGCGAGAGAAGGCGAAGACTGTCTTCCAAGGCCATTCAGAGGAATCACCCTCAGTTTCTACAAAGCTGCCAGCACAAGCGCCTCTACAGTCCCTAACTTCTTTTCCTTCTGGTTGCCATTGGCAAACCCAACAGTGAGTTTCATTTTTACACATTTTCTTTTGTTCCGGTGTCCAGACAATCCTATTTCACCACTGATTTAACTGGTAAGTAAACCCTGTAAGCTTTCTAGGTGGCTTCAACAGGATTTGGATTGTGACTGAGACCCTAACTATGTTCACTTTTGACAGACAAAGCCTATGCCCCTTGCTTGGTATTTGAAAATTTAAAACTTACATGAGGGCTGAGAGAACAATCAGAGGGCCAGTGGCTGAGCACCTGGCTAGTGTATGCAAGGCCCTGGCTTCAATCCTCTGTAATTTTTTTTAAACTTCATTATTTCTTTAGTATAGGGTCTCACTATGCAGTTCGGTCTTGTACTGATCCTCCTGTCACAGCTTCCCCAGTGCTGAAATTACAAGTGCGTGCCACCACACTCAGTTTCAGTGGCTAACAAGGTGTGCCCAGGTTCCAGGGCTGGCATGGCATGTGGTGCCAGAGATTGGACCCAGGTCCTTGTGCTTGCCAGGGAGGTGCTTCGATCACTGGGCTATCTCCCCAGCCCCAGGAAATGTATTTTGGATTTACTTCAGTTGTAGTTTTCTGCACATGCATACCCTGGGTACTTCCTAATAGCTAACACATCATGCGCATCTTACGCATAAGGCACTATTCAATCACGTAATTTATAATCTACCTCACATTTTGACTGCCTTCTGAAAAATCAGCTTGACATACTATTCTACAACTTTTTTAAGGTCTGGATAGTATTACATCATCTGATGTCCTAATTTGTTTAAAAATTCCAAATAAAATATTTTTTTAAGTTTTTATAAGAACTGCTGTGTAGGCAGGAGTCTGCTGATCTCTGATGATCTCAAGTGGTATTTGAAGCATTTCACTGTTTTATGTATAATCAATAGGTGAGGCGTTCCCCCAAAGGTGCCTTGTGTATCAGCTATCCTGTCTCTAGCAGTCCTGCTTTAAGTATGGGTCTCATTGCAATGGGAAAAGCGGAAGCGTGAAGTTAAAACTCACCTCAAGTGGGCCACAGCACAGGTTTATTTCTCCCCTGCTGCCCAGGGTGTCTGCAATGACATTGGCCTCACCTGGCTTCCACTACCCCATCCACATCCACAGATGGAAAAGGACCCCAGCAGAGGGAGCTGGGGGCTTGTGGCAGTGGAAGGCAATCTGCCAGGTAATGAAGGCCTGGCTAATGAAGTTTCAAGCTGGATGCTCCTGCGCCCCTTGCAAGTTAGGAGTAGCTATTGGGTCAACCAGCAATATCTGTTTTCCTGGCTCTTCGGAGAAAACTCAATGCTTAGTTGCCTTACTAGGTTTTCTTGCAGTGTACTAGGACCCCTGTGGTTATGCCATCCAATAGCCAGGCAGAGGTCCTGGTCCCACCACTGGTGTGCAGGGAGCAGCTGTGCACCATGACAGTACCCTGTTAAGATTACCTAAGTGCAAGGGGCTGGGGAGATGGCTCAGTAGAATAAGCGCTTCACTGGCAAGCGCAGGGGCCTGAGTTCAAACCCTGGTTCCAAAAAAAAAAAAAAAAAGTTTCCCGAGTGCAGTCCTGTTTCTGCCCGATCAGTAGTGCCTTATTTCCCCAAAAAGTCACTATCTTCTTCTTCTTCTTCAGTGGCTACTCTGTAAGGCAGGTAAGGCAAGGATTGGCTGACTGGGGCTGGCATTTTTGATCTCTAAGTTTTCAAGGCCAATTATTTTCAGGTTAGGACTTATTTTCCAAGGAGGGTACCTCTAAGAAAGAAGTAAATCTGCTGGCTAAACACTCTTGGGGGTGACCAAGGAATGGGTACCCAGGATTGCTACTTGGGGACTCTGTTTTCTCTAGTAGACAAGATGGGAAACGCTGACTGTGCAGCTGGTCTGGGCTAACAGGAACATTTAGGAGTGAAGGGAAAGGGGCATGGACTTGCTTAAGATGAGCTGAGCCCACTGGCTCATGGTGTTAAAGAAATGCAGGCACAAATGAGATGAGGAGTGGGAGACCAGGCCTTCTGCCTGACCCTGCAGCAGCCTGGCACACCGCCCTGGGCAGATCCCAGAGCTCTTCCATCTTTTGCTCATATGTACTGTGGGGTGCTACCTGTCCCACGTGTATTATAGATGAGACTGAAGAAGATGAACAAAACATGGCCTTGAGAGCTACAGGGCATCGTTCAGAGCAGTTCAGTGGAGTGGGGCCTCACTGGAGGACCATGAACAATAGCCACCCAATGATGGAGAGGGACCTTGAGGTCTCAACAACCTTGGGAGGTGCCAGGCCTTGGCAGGCAGCATAAGGTAGTATCTGTTGGATTACTGTGTTGGTGCCACGTTCAACCAATTAATTCCTAGGAATAATGTCTGCAGGCCAAATTCTCCAGCCAAAGGGGCCTTCTGACCTTGTAATTGGGGGACACTAGAAGATAAGAAAGTAAGACTCCTTGTACTCTTAAAGACAATAAACATAAAACACAGCCTGTTGAGGAAGCTTTACTGTAGCTTCAAGTTTAAGAATCTTTGCCACTGATGGAAAGCCACACTTTCAGATGGTTTCCCGCATTGCCTTGCTCAGCTTCTGAATCTTGCTTTTTGCAGACATATCCACGTATTTCTCCCCAATTCGGACAATCATTCCACCCATGATTGAGGGATCAGTCTAGGAAAGAAAACGGTGAAATATGAAAGTGCATTCCTATCATTTCACTAATCAAATGGATGGATAAAAAGTGCTCAGAACTGATGAATGGGTCTCACAAGTTTAAGACATCATATTTAGGAAAACGTAGGTGTGAAACTGCATGAAATCAATCACTTAAACAGACAAACCTAACTAACTTTTTTTTTTGGCTGGCTCAGGCTGCCTTAAGAGCAGGTCTGGTAAGGCATGAGGAGCTGGGGATTGAACCATGGTATCCTGTGCCTGACTGCATTTGCATAAGTAGGTGCCTAAACAACCAAGCTAACTGGCAGGGCCCCGCCCCCCCTGACAAATCTAACTTTTCATGAATACCCTCTACAGCCATTTTAAGTCTTAAACAGCCCTAGAAAACATACCACAAATAATTAAAAACCTACCTTCACCTCCAGTTTCAGTACTTGGCCCTGACCTAGGAAGCTCTTCAGTACTGCTGTTAATTCAGAGAGGGCAGTTTGGTCTAATGTCTGAAAAAGAGCAAATCATCCATTAAGTCAGAGAAACTCTTGTAGTCAAAAAAAGAGAAAAAAATACAATGGGCACACAGGACAGAGCAAACCCGTCTTAGGTATCCGCAGACCCATGAAGCAGCTGCCCCTGCCACGCTGCACAGAACCTGCAATCTCAGGCCTGCAGTTCACCGAATATCCGTAAAGCTGCTCCCACAGCATCATGAGCAGGAGGAGACCCTGAGCCTGAAGACACACACCTCACTGCCACAGGCTCATGGTCACCGTGTGATGCATCACTTCCTAGAAGATGCACTGCAGATGACAGTACCCTTCAATCCTCAGCTCTCTTGCTGCCCCCCCAAGTCTGTGGCTACCTGGAGCCCTGGCACACACTGTACCTGGAGCCTCACTGAGGTCCAGACCTCCAGACTTCCTCTTGACCCCAACTGCACTCCTGAGTCAGGTGAAGCAGGGACAGTGAAAAAGGATGGTGAAGGAAAGGCCGTTTACTTCTTGTAAATCCTGTGCCCTTAGTTGCTGAAAAGCTGGCCAAAGTGTCTACTTTGTAAAACACTAACTGGTACCCTTTGGGAGTGGAGGCGGTTAACAGTCTAGCAGTGGTCCTTCCAGATGCTCCAGTAACATGGGGAGGTCCCGAGCTCAGAAGCGGCCCTGGAGCTGCCTGGGTCTAGGACGCTGCCCACTGCTGGTGCAAGCACCTCACTTCTGCCACCTCCCCTGATCCAGACAAGGCAGTGAGGCTGGTGGGCAGAATCCCCATTTCATCTCGAGAACTGAAGATCAAAGTGGTGGAAAAGAGTGCCAAAAGACACAGGGGTGAGGATTAATGCTGTTTCTGCAACTGCTCTTGTGTTTCTAAAGCCTGTGTACATAGTCACTTACATATGGACACTTATTTACCTAGGAGATCAATACTATAAGCCATAATGACAGATGCCCTAAGTACTCTATGAAAGTGAGCACTGTTTAAAGGCATGTCCCCATATTCACTTCCTAGGCCAGTGTTTTGCTGTGGTGGCAGGAGACCCAGAGAGTGCAGTACTGCCAGGAAGCTGGCACAGCCACGCAGGCTCCTGTGACCACCCAGATGGTCCCAGTTTTGGGAGTACTGACTATGTAATGAACTCAAATGTGCGAACAGGTACATACTAAAATGCCTCTTTGAAACTGCTGTTTTGGAGTCAGAATACCTTTTAAACACTAAAACTGTTAATCTAGACGAGCTTCAGAATGCAAATAAATCTACCCTGTGAGGCTTGAGCCCTGGGTAGCTTTCCTCTCATGCTGACTGACCTACATTAGGAAGAACATGATGGTGATGATGATTTTCCTTCTTGTAGTGCTGGGGGTTGAAACCAGGGGCACACGACCACTGACCCACACCAGTCCTTTTTATATTTAGTGACAGGGTTTCACTAAATTGCCTTACTTGGCCTTCAACTTATGATCTTCCTGCTTCAGTCTCCTGAGTAGCTGGGTGTCTCAACTTACTCTTCTCTCATTGCTGGGACAAATACTCGACAGTCAAAACAAAGGAAGGAAAGGTTTATTCAGCTCACAGTTACTAGAGGTTTTAGTTCACACTCAGCTGGCTCCAAGGCAGGCCAGCACGTGGCAGAGAGCAACCTTTCATAGCAGTGGCAAAGAGCTTAGAGCAAAACCGAGTGAGCAGCTGAGGCAGCTAGCTAGCTTCTCTCCCCACCTTACACTGTAATGCAAATTACCTGCCTCAGGGCAGGTGCAGCACTCACTCCCACAACAATCAATCACAAACTCCAGAAGCCACCCCATGACTGCATGAGGCTTTGGGGGACAACTAGACACAAACCATAACACTGGGACTAGAGACATGTGCCACGAAACCCAGTAAGAAATACATATTTGAGACATTAACATAATTAGTTCTGTGGAGATAATATAGTATAGCTTAAGGAACACAGACTTCTAAGATACAGAGGTCTGTGTTCAAACCCTAACTGTACTTTGTGGAACTTCTGGCAAGCTAGTAAAGACCCAGGGCTTGTTTCCTCACATGTAAACTGAGAACAATTATACTTTCCCCTCACACAGATCTTCTGCTATTCTATCAGATAATGAATTACAAAGTGCTGAGCTCGTGGTAGGCTCACTATCTGCAGGCCACCTTTCAGTCCTCTCTAGCAAGTCAAAAAGATCTAAGCACCTACCCACCTACCTCTTCCTATGCAGCACAACAGATTTAAAGATCAGAAACTCTAGTTTGGATTTTTTCTTTTTTTGTATTTTAGGGAAGGGTCTACAGGGTGTTCAGGGTCTCCTAGATCGGACTCATAGTGATCTACTTATTTACAGCCTCCTGAGCTGAACACTGGGATTACAGGCACAGGCCACCACCCAGTCTCAATTGCTGTCTCAGTGTGCCCCAGGGGCAGGGCTGGCATGGCAGGCCTGGAGATTCAGCCCCAGGTCCTTGCACAGGTGCTTTAATCCACTGAGCTATTTCGCCAGCCTTTTCAGAAACTCCAGTCTTAACAACCTTTTCTTTTTTTTCCATTAGTGTATTTGGTACAGGGTCTCACTACACAGATTGGACTCGTGGTGATCCTCCTGATTTCAGCCTCCCCAGCTGGGATTATAGGTGTGTGTGCCACCACGCCCAGTCTCCATTGCTGGTTCAGTGTGCCCTGGGCTGGCGTGGCACAAGGGATAGGATCGAACCCTGGTCTCTGCGCTTGCTAAAGCAGGTGCTTTGTCTGCTAAGCTATTTCGCCAGCCCAACAATCTTAAAATGACAAAAAAAATTCAAACCTATAAAGGAACATAAATTACAATTTTAAACACTTCAATATTCTTTACATTTAATTGAGTCTACAGTGCTTACAGTCAGAGACAATACAAGTGCTAATGAGATACACACTGGCCCTTCCAAAGCAAGATTCACAGAGGCTTAAAGATGAATGAAATCCTAGGTGACATTCCACAAGTCACTGGCCACTTCCTTGATTTTACCCTCTGTCAAGACAAATGCAGCCGTGAAAGTCAAAAGCTGCTACTTACAGATGCAGTAGTCACTGTGCAAGGAACTTCTCCACGGTGGACACTCATAATGGTAGAAAAGGCAGAAATGATGCCCTGGGTATTTTCCAGACGGCCATTTTCAGCAAGCACATCTAGGGAAGTGAAGGAGTCACAAAGATGTGAAACCATCCAACACGTTATCCATCCAGTATTACACTCACTTAAAAAGCAACCTTTGATTTGTAGCTTCAAAACATCATGTGCAATATTCTCCAATAATGGGAACAATCTTGTTATTTTTTATATTTTGAGTTTAGGACAGGGTGTGCAGGGTCTCACCATGTAGCTCTGACTCATTTTTTTCCTGTTTTTCAGCCTCCCAAGTGCTGGGATTATAGGTGCGCACCGGCACAGCATGCTGGGGATCAAACCCCAGCTGCTGCGCTCTGCCGAAGCAGGTGCTTTAGTCTGCTGAGCTATCTGGCTGGCCCTAACTTGTTAAAATGCAGTTACAGTCTTTTTTTTTTTTTTTTTTAAGACAGCCCTGACTGGGGAGATAGCTCAGTGGAGTAAGTGCTTGCCTGGCAAGCACTAGGTCCTGAGTTCAATCCCTGGTACCACCCCCCACTCCAAAAAAAAAAAGCAAGCCCTGATAAGCACTTAAATTAGCAAATGTGTGTGTGTGTGTGGGGGGGAGCTACACCCATCAGATCTGCAACAGACTTCTAGCACCTGGTGTGCAATTTCATTTTAACATTTATGTTTCAGATCCCAGTGCTTGGCTACCAATTCCCAAACTGACACACTGCCTATATGCAAAGATGACAACATGAATAACTTTGCAATGTGTATTTGAACTTGGCCAGGAAGAAATGAAAAGCAACCCAAACATACCAAATGACACAGCTGTCTTCTGCAGCCACTCGGCCCACATTATTTTCTTGGTGCCAATCCCACTGGTACCTGTGTGGGCTGCAACTACAGCCCATGTGATCAGACTGCCTCTCACCTTTGCACCTTGTAGCCTGTGTCCCTGGAACCTGAATGTGCAAACAACTCGCTGGGGAGGTGGCTGGGATGCAGGCGGGGCGGAGGCCGAGTCTGCCCACAGTCTGGGAGCTGCTCCTCACCTTGGAGCACATTTCCAGCAGCTCAGGTATAAGAAAACTCAAATGAACTAGTTCCAATACTTACTCATCAAGTTGGACGTGAGGGGAGAGAATCTCTCTTTTGTGGTGATGTCATTCAGGCTTTTCACTTTAATGGAACGCTTAACATAGGGATTCAGAACAGACAGGGCCACCTTGGGATCCTTCAGGAGTTGCTACAAGTACCAAAAACCCCAAAAAGAATTTAATTCTTTAGAATAAAAATGATCCCACTTGCCATATACACATACTTTTTTATAGATTAAGAAAAACAGCATTTTCAAACATGTAAGAAAAGCTTACAATCAAATACATTTTTTCTGACCTCAGGAAAATACTGTTACCTTTTAAAAAAAATACTGTACCCTTTTTATGGGACAAAATGATATTAAAAAAAATTTAAAATACTTTATGAACTGTCTTAAGAGTGAGCATATGTGTATGAATATGGGAGATGGAACCTGGGGCCCTGTGTGTGCTTACTCTACTGTACACTACCACTCAAGCCTTTTACAATGTATTTTTGCTTTGCTTTTCACGAAAGATTGTAAAATATTAAGCAGCCAAAAGCTCCACTTCACTGTGAATTCTAATGTATGCAATGTAAGACTCCAGCTTTCCGAGTGATGCTGCCCGCCAAGTGCAGCCCTTACACGGTGCTGACTGCCTCGTCACCCTGGGCCAACAGCGGCTGCCCCGCTTCCCACAGAGCTCAGAGGCTGACCCACTTGTAAGAGGCCCTGCTGCCTCCACGAGTCTGGGAAGGAGCATAGATAGAAAAACGAGGGCGCCATGACTGTGGGAGGCCACTTTGTTCCCATTTTATGAAATCACAAAGGTCTGAATTCAGGAGCCACGTGCAATGTCCGGCACCTTTGCGGCTCTTAGTGCCAGGCCAAGTTCCAACAATAGCTCTTCCCACCTGGGTGTCTTTCCCTTGGACATTTCTGTCAGTTACTCCACTAGACCTCTGCCTATAATCCTGGCTCTGATCCAGGCTGCTTGTCATACATGGCCACTCAATGCTAAGATTTCTACCTGAATGGCCCCGAGAGATGACATTTGCCTATAAAAACTGCAGCCTTATCCAAATTAGAACCACCTTGAAAACTCGGTTGCCCCCTTTTCACGTTTCTTTTCTGTTTCTGATGCATTGTCCAGTGGACAGTTAGTGCAAAACCTAAGTGCTCCTGAAATGCTAATTTTCATTTACAAAGAGTCTTATGGTAATCGCCTCCCTTTTTCTGAATGGCTTCCAGGTTTCAGATGAACATCATTCTGATGATGTCCGTGACTTGGATCCTTATTTGTGAATGGGACTGTGAGGTCTAAAATGGTACAACTAGAGCGCAGGCCCGGTGAGTGAGTGAGACGACCCGGGCCCTTGGGATCCTGAATAGATAAGGAGCCCAGGCCCAGCGAGTGAGTGAGACGACCTGGGGCGCGCAGATCCTGAATATATCCAGAGCGCAGGCCCGGTGAGTGAGTGAGACTGCCCAGGGCCGCTGATCCTCATTGACCAAGTGCAGGCCCAGCGCAGAATCCTTCAGCAGAACTCCCTGCAAAGAGGCTAGAGGCAAGACCCACACAGCTGATTCAGGAGCAGAACATCTTGCCAGAGAAACACAAAGGGTTCAACTCTAAGGGCTGCAACAGAAAGAAGTGAAGCACAGCAGCCAGATCCAAACAACACCCACCTGGAGGAATCTGAACTTCGTAGATCCGGACCTGGTGCTAAGGTAATAACTCTATTTAAGCTCTACACCAAAGGTCAGAAGACAGTGGTATACAAAACGACAAAGACAAAGAGAAGGAACAAAATGTAGCCTCAGGCCCTGAATCCACCCAGTACAACTGCAGAAGACACTAGCACTGAGGAAACTGGAAATCACACACCTGATATCTCTGAAATAATAGCGTTGGCAGTAAAGAAACAACTGCAGAAAGGTATAGAAGAAATCAGATCAGAAATAATTTCGGAACTAAAAAATATAGTGATATGTATAATCAAAGAAGTACTAAGTGCTTCTAAAGAATACACTGATAAAAAAATAGAGCAGAATATAAAAATGATGGAACCCCTGAATAAGCAATTTAGGAAAGAAATAGAGTGTATGAAACAGATTCAAAATGATATACAGGAAATTAAAACCTCAATCACAAGCTGGCAAAACCGTTTGAGGGAAAGTGAAAATAGACTTTCTGACCATAAAGACACCATTACAGCTAGTGAAAAAGAAAGAGAAGATCTCTTTAAAACAACTAGGATACAGGGAAAAATAATTCAGTACCTGCAAGATGATGCAAAGATGAACAATGTGAGACTAATAGGCATCAATGAGAAGGAAGGAGTCAATACAAATGCTATAAAAAGAATATGAGCAAAAGTAATAGCAGAAAACTTCCCAAATATTGGGAAAGAATCTGACATTCCTGTAACCGAAGCATATAGAACTCCAAATAACATCAACCCAATGAAAACCACACCCAGTCAAGATCCCAGAAATTCAGCATAGGAACAGTATACTAGAAGCCACTAAAGAAAAGAAACAGATCACATTTAAAGGAAGACCCATCAGAATAACGGCAGATTTCTCTTCACAAATCATCAAGTCAAGAAGAGCATGGAGCAAAGTACTTCAAGTCTTGCAAGAAAACAAATTCCAACCCAGACTGATGTATCCTGCAAAACTCTCCTTCAAGTGTAATGGAGAAGTGAAATACTTCCATGACAAAGAACAACTAAAGAATTTCATGATGACAAAGCCAAGCCTACACAGATTACTAAGTGATGTTCTAGAGAAGGAGCAAATTGATCACAGCCCCATGAACGAGAATGAAAAGAACCCACCAAATAGGGCAAACAATTAAACAGAGGAGAATAAGAGGTATACAATAGTAGTCTTTCAGTTATTCTTTTGTGTTCAGCAGCAAAATATTTCCATCAGCACACTCTACAAATGGACTTCCCTTCCACTCAGATTTCACCTGAGTCTACAGGGTGGATCTCAAATAGCTGCAGCTCAGTTCCACAAGTGACGCCTAGCCACCAGTAACTGTCACGGTCATTATGCATGTCCACAACACACTAGAACTTTGTGCAATATTCTATCCTCAAACTGTTAGAAGTGCTGGTCATTTATCTGCCATTCCAGTATTTATCTTATGTTTTACTCTTAGTACTTCTTTGCTATCCTGAAAACTTTTTCTTAGTTCAACTGTTTTGAACATTTAATTTTTAATTAATTAGTATTTAATTTTTTGAATATTGCTTAATCTTTTTTTCAATTTTATTTATTTATTTGTGTGTGTGTGTGTGTGTGTGTGTGTGTGGCCAGCTCAGCCCACCAGGGGTTTGCTAAGCTTGTTCTAAGTGGGTGCTTTAGACCACTGAACCATCTCACCAGCCCAATATTGCTTAATCTTAATTTTTGTTCTAAGATTTATACTATATCTTTGACTTACAATTTATTTAAAAGACATTGTATGAAATCTTTTCCTAGTATTACAAACTTTAAAAAGTATATTTCCATTTTCTGTTGACTTTATATTACTTCTTCCCTGTCTTTTATACACACATATATAGAAAAAAAAAAATACGTGTAAAATGGTACAACTGACAAGCTGCAGATAAAAGCAACGCCTTCAAAGATGCCCTCAGGAGATCCTGTGTGTTCCTGGCCACGCTGGGCCTTGTCTGCTGGCTCTGTCAGCCCCAAGGGCTCACCATTCCAGCTAAGACCTTAGGCATTATCTGTAGACACCCAGGGTAAGAAAGGCAGACAGGGCTAACATTACTCTGTTAGGACAAAGTTCCAATAAAAGCTCAAAATGGAAAGTGAACAAAACAAGTCATACAGAATAAATGAAGCATGTTCATTAATAGAATGTAAGTACTACTCTATAAAACTAGCTTGTGAGATTCTAGATCTTTAAAATATGTGGGTTAGGAAATACAAGATAACACATTCAATCAAAACAAAGGTTTTCCTGGCAGAGACCATTACTAGACTGTCTCCCTCCCTTGCTCTAACAGTCCTTATTGCCAGGGGTGGCACCTACAAACTACAAAAGGAGGGGAAGTGACAAAACACACAGAAACTTCTCAACTAGAAAATTCACCAAAAATTAAGGCAGAGATTTTTTTTTAAGCTACATTATGGATTTTTGTTAACTCAGTGTATTTACTTTTTCTTTTTTAAATAAACTTTCTGATGGCCTCAGTCTTTCTTCACCATTTTCTGCCCATTCTGAAAGCCCACAGCCGCCCCTAACTCCACCCTGCATCCTCCGCTCAGGCTCCTGGCCCTCACACCTTGGAAGCAAAGTAATAATTCAAATCCAGGAAAAGGTTTCCTATAGAAAAATTCTGTCAAATGAGGTCTTAGCATACAGAAAAGACTAGCTTGAAAATAGCTGGTGCATAAACACAGATTTTAAAAAGTGACATTGTAACGCTCTTCACAAATGGGAATTTTTTTCTTTCAATTACTTTCTTGTATATTGGTTTTATATCTACCTTTTCTTAATTGGAAATCCTGGTTCTAACATTAGCATCCTTATATGTATCTCCATGTTTCTATTAGTTTCAGAATAATAAAACTCCACGTTATTACTAATAACATTTTAACAGAAAAGTTTGTTTCTGGCAGTTTTTTTTTTCTCACAGGATGTATCTCACTGAGGATGCACAAATAATTAGAGGCATAATTATACATACAGGAGTTTAATATGCAAGAAAAGAGAACGCTACTTACTGCTATTCTCAGCAACTCCTTTTCCACTTGATCCAGTTTATTCTGTTTAGACGCAGCAGAATAGAGAGCTGTAGCATAGCGACCTTCAATGCCATATACCTGGACTGGTGGCTTTAAACCAAAAGGTGGGGTAAAGAGAAAGGAAATCAGTTACAGAGATGACACTGTACCAGTAACAGTGGAATTAAACATTTATAATTTAAAAACTATGTCTCAAATTGGGCTCAGCAGCAAATGCCTGTAATGCCAGCTGGTAGGAAAGATGACACAGGAGGATTATGAGTTAAGATGGATTAAGGACAGGTCTCAAACAAATTAGGGAAGTGTGCTTAGCCAGGTCTACCTATTGCTGAGCCTCTAATTCTCCATTTGTGAAATGAGGGGCTGATATTAGTGAACTGTCAGTTAAAATGTCATTGAGATTCCATCTCACGCAATCAGATGGCAAGAATACAAAAAACAATGAATGGGGGTAAAGCCCAGAGGTGGAGCATTTCACTGCAGAAAACAATGAATGTTGGCAAACACTGGGGTAAACACAGAAGCCCTCCTAGATATTGGCAGTACAGACATTATGGAAGTCAGTATGGGGAGTTCTCCAAAAAGTAAAACTAGTGGTATGATGGGATCCAGCTATACTATTCTTTGGGATGTTCTGGAAAGAACTGGAGAAATCACACTGCAGTGACAGGCACATCTACATTCATAGCAGCCCAATTCATAACAGCTAAACTTGGTATATGTGCTGCCGAAGCAAGCACAATAACAGCTAAGCTGGGAAACGACCTAGACATCTGTCAACAGAGGAATGGATTAAAAAAAAAATGTAGTTTTTAATCAGTGTTCTTCAGTCATAAGGAACAAAATCATTATCACCTGTGGCAAAATAGATGCAACCCAAGATCACACACACACACAAAAAGTTTATAACACCTTCCATACTTTATAACTGGATTGTTCCTGAGTTCCAAAGGAAGCATAAGCTCATCATAAAGTAATTGATTTACAGGTCAGTAGAGCTGGGCGGAACTTCAGTCTTGTCAGCCACTCAGTTTCACTAGTGGGGAAGCTGAGACTCTGAACAAGAAAGATTGGCTTCCAACCCAGTTCTAAGGCCAAGCTGAATAACATCAGGCAAATGTTTGTAGAGCCTCAAATCCACCTTTTGTAAAAAAACCAGTGATTCCCTATCACTGACAGTGGGGTTTTAGGTGGGATAAAAATGAGACGATTCCTCCAAATTTTGAGATCTGTAACTGGTATGAGGGAGGGGGTGTGACAATTTTCTCAATTGCACCTGAGGTGATTCACTAAGCACACAGATTTGATATTTTGACCTTTCCTTTACACACAACTGGAGGACTGTCTCACTGTTGAGTAGGGTGTGTGTATGGACAGGAGAAAGAGCCCAGTACATCTCTGGACCTGTCAACAGAAGTGCCTGTTCCCAACAGCTGGATCAATTGTGTCATATAAGAACTAGTAACTAAAGGAGAATTTAAAAATGACCCATAGAAATGCAGTCACATCACATGTTACCAACTGTCACCTATGTATCACCTGGGGGGCTTTTGTATAAACTTCATTTGTTATAGTTCATTTCATGGGGGGGGGCAACAAGACTGTTTCTGGTTTAAAATAAAGGGACAGCCAGGGATACAATTCAGCAGCACAGGCAAGCAGAAGGTCCTGCATTCAATTCCTGTGGAAAGAAAAAAAAAAAAACACAAAACAAAACAAAACCAAAAAACCCCACAAAAAACAAAGGGATAGACAAATCTTTGCAATGGTGACTTTTTGGTGTCTATAGTGAGTAGTCCTTTTCCCAATCCTGGTTTTGTTTAAAAAAGGGTGTTTCTGCTAGGCACAGTGGGGGCATATATATAATCTCAGCATCTGGGAGGCAGAGGCAGGAAGACTGCAAGTTCAAGTCAGCCTGGACTACAAAGCAAGACCCCATCTTCTTTTTTTTAATGTATTTGGTACAGGGTCTTACGAGGCAGCTCAGACTTGTAGTGATCCTCCTGTTTTCAGCCTCCCCAGTGCTGGGATTACAGGTATGTGCCACGAAACGTGGTCTGTGGTTGGCTCAGTGCTGCACCCCTGCGGTGGGGCAGTTGCAGCATGTGGTGTGGGCGAGGGGGTGGGGGAGAAGACCCAAGTCCCTGCGCTTGCCTAAGCAGATGCTTAGTCCACTAAGCTATGTCACCGGCCCCCCATCTTTTCTTAAAAAAGCTGCAAATATTCCTTTATAACTATAGGGAAAATACCTTGTAACATGGAGCACTGCAACCAAAGTGCAATAGAACTGAGATACCTGATTTTAATATTGACTTCTCCAATAACTTACCATGAGAACCTGGGCATATACTTTGCTGGATTTACTCATTTCATTAAAAAAGGAATGCTAGCTAATTTGCCTATTTTGCAAGGTTAATGCAAAAACAAAAAACAGTTCCCCAATTTAAAAGTTATCCAATTTAAAAGCCTATTAAACACTCAACAAGACAAAACAAAGTAACTCAACAGAGAAACACGGGTTGTGGTGGTGCACGCCTACAATCCCAGCACTCAAGAGGCTGAGGCAGGCTTGTGAGTTCAAGACCAGCCTGGGCTACAAAGTGAGCTCAAGGCCAGACTGAGCTGCATAGTGAGACCCTGTCTTAAAAAGACCAAAAACCAAACCAAACAAAATAAAAGAAATTAAACACTCAACATCACTCCTTTCTCACCAAGGTCTGGGAATCACAAAGTATGTGAGAAACATTCACGTGGTAGCTACACAAATGTGCATGGACTCACACTCTCTCAGCTGCTTTATAATTATAAAAATATAAATGAACATACTCTCACGAGCTTGGCAAATGGCCTGACCACAGATGTACTGAAGCATCGCACCTGCAACACAAAGGAAAAATAGATGAAACAAAGTTATCTAGACGTCTGCATGTAACCCAGTATTCAATTTTTAAAAAAAGACTTCTATGTCATTAGTTTCATATACATATATATGTATACATACATAATATATATTAATTTTTTTATTTATTTGGTACAGGGTCTTGCTATGCAGCCTGGACTCTAGTGATCCTCCTGCCTCAGCCTACCCAGCACTGGGATTACAGGCATGTGCTACCATGCCCGAAACACACCTCTGAAAGAAAGGAGGTATCAGGGATTGAACCGGAGTCCTTGAGCTTGCCAGGCAGGCATTTAGATTGCTGAGCTACCTCCCCATCCCTTATATATTTCTTTATATCACTGTATAGATCACATGAGTTTGAGTTGCTCTTTACTATCTACAAATAAATTTCCCTGATAATCTTCCCAAATTGCTTAGGAAACTGCCTTCCTATTACCTTTTTAGTTTGCTGGGAATGGGCTGAGGCTAGCACACCCATATGGGAGAGACTAACCTACAGGAGTGTATGCTTAAGAAAACAAAGCAAACAAAAAGCAAGATTGGCATTTATCACTTATATTACGTGAGCAGCATTTTAATTAAAGTCGGAGTACTCGGCATGATTTGCAAATGACATGCTTCTTACGAATCCAAATGCTACCTAAAATTAGAGATTAATTCTCTGAACAGTGAACAAATGAGTCTGGTAAGATAACAGGCCCCAGTTTTGGGGAGTTGTCTATGAGCTACCAAAGAACAGAGCTGGAATCCATAGCTGAAAAAGCATCTGCGAGGGCTCTGGTCACCTTCACACACTTCCACCTCTGGAATGTACTAGATCAGAATTGGCTGTGAGGATTAAAAGACCAACTCTTATGGAAAAAGTATGTAATGATTTGAAGAGTATCATAGCGAAGGCGATAAGAACACATTTTTTTTTTTTTTTCCAACTCGCATCTTCTGGGGGAAATCTACGGGTTCCGAAGTCAACACTACTACTTACTGGCTGAACAACCAACGACAAGTCACTGAGGCTTTTTTGTCTCTTTTATACAAACAGGTAACGGGACTTACAAATATTCCTGAGGTTTACTAGTGGCCTGTGACGGTTTTATGGCCAAATAGGCTGACTTCGGGGCTGAGCAGAGTCCTTTCTTTGGAGAGCAGGGAAGCCAGGCCGCCCTCTCCCACGCCCCTCCAGCCCGGTGCCTCGCATGACAGCACCGAGGACGCCAAGGTCACTACACGAGCAGCCACGGGCGCCCTGGGCGGCAAATGCAGGGCCGCCCCGAGTCAAACCCACTTGCGGGGCCCCACGATCGCAGACGGCATCCATGACCGCCAGCCACGGGGTCGCACCCTAACGCTCGGGCCGCAGAACCTGTCCCCTAGAGAGGAAAATCCTTCCGCGGGCTTCTCTAACCTGCCGGTACAGCCCGGAAGCTCCTGGGGTAGCCATCTTCTCCCGGGCGGCTGTAGGTCAAACCCAGGTGGGAAGCGAGAAGGGTGTTTCAGCGCACGCGCGCGTCAGCGTGACCGCAAGACACTCTGGGAAATGTAGGCGTAGAGCTCTACGGCGCAGAAGCAACGTTTTCGCATACAGTGGGAGTTGTAGTCCTTAGAAACGGCACCCTCAACTGGCCCCCTTCAGGTGTGGGTTAGTAGGTGCGTCGTACACCTGCAAATAAAGTCCATAAATTGATGAATAGCGATCCTTATTATAGAATTTACGGTCCTTAGGTTTTTTAAAAAAAATCTACATTTAGGTAAGCACGGTGACATTTTTCCATTTCACATTCATTATTAGCATCCTTACCCCTTTTCCCTCGTAAACCGATGCGTGTAGGAGCTAGCCTCCTCTCGCCCTACCCCCGCCCCAACCAAAAACAAGATTCGCAGTGCGCGGGTAAACACCACATCTCGCTTACCTGGGCTGTGACGGCCTCTCTGTACTCCTCCCCTCTTGCTCTTCGTTTGTTACTTTACAAGGACATGTGAAGTTCTGGTACTGAAATGATTGGTTCTGTGTAGAGCAGAGCTGGATCTGACGTAGGAGAACCTGGCAAGTTCTCCAGCAAACGTAGCATCGACCATTAGAGCCCGATACTAGCCTTGGCCAGTTTTTCTGCATTTATAAAAAAAACAAAAACCCCGTATTTTCAACCCATTCCCTATCAACGGAGCATGCTATAATAGAGCAATCTACATATAATTTTAAATGTAGATTATGAATACATCCTTACAATGTAATATAAACATGTTTCCAATTTATTTTTTTATTTTAGAGGCACTTTAGACAACTAAAAATAATTGTATGTTCAGAAGCAGTATACAGTGCAAGAGAAATCAAACCAGTTACTTTATTCTCCTTTACAACTAAAGCCATGGGGGGAGGGGGAGCATTCTGCTTTAAGGGAAATATCTGAAAAACAGGCAAATATATTTTTCTTCTCCATAATAACAAAAAAAGCTACAAGAAATTTAATTGTAATGACACAAATTGGACGTTGGCTTGCACGTTTTCATTAAAAAGACAAGCTGTTGCACTACAGGAGCCGGCTGCCCCGCATCTCTGAGGCTGAGCTTGCACTCACAGCTTCTGGCGGGTCAGCGACTGCAGCACGGAAGGGAATTCATATTCCCGGTAACTGGCTGTTCGCATCAAGTGGAGAGAAACTCTGAGGGCAGTGTTCGTCTCTGCCTGCTCTTCAGTCCCTATGTGATACACTATCTGCGGCACATGCTAGAGGCTCAGGCTTTAACTTCAGGAGTTGAATAATAGATGGAATCTGAATTTTCTGAAGCAATTTCTTCTAATTCCTCTTCTGCTGTCTCTGGAAAATTGATCTTTGGCGTTGCCAGCTCACCACTAGCTTCTTCCAGAAGCACACATTTCCAAAGGCCATAGGTTTTTCCTCCCACCATTTGCCACAGTCTCAGAATCCCATCTTCAGAACCACTGGCGTACAGTTCTCCATCAGGACTGAATCTCACACAGTGAATGGGACCAAAGTGTCCCTTGTAGGATTCTAGTTCTTCTCCGCTATTATAATCATACTTATAAAGCTTAAAATCTTCATCACCTGCAACAAGAAATTCTTTCTCAGATCGAAGAGATGCAGAATTGATGGGTACAGGCGCTTCAAAGGATTTAATTGGGTCCAAGCTTACTGCACCATGAAAAGCAATAGATCGTCTGTAAGTAATAACCAGGATCTCTCCCTCAGGAATATATTCTATGCTACTAACAGACATATTTATTATATTAATTTTATTGAGAAATAAATAGCAATGAGAGTTTCAAAACAGGTTAGGAGGGCAGTTACAATAATTAATACATTACATGTTGTTGTCTTCCTAGTAGTTATTCATAGTACAAGATGCAGACATGATAGCGTGTCTAAACAGTATTAGTTCAAAACTTCCTTCTCATTGAACTAAGAGAAAGCTGTATATCTATATCTATATATATAGTCACTATAAAATGGTCCGGGGCCGGTGAGATGGCTCAGTGGTCTAAAGCACCTACTTAGAACAAGCTTAGCAAAGCACAGGGACCGTGGTTCAATCCCCCAGCACCACATGCCAGCCAGCCCCGCCCTCTGGTGGGCTGAGCTGGCCACACACACACACACACACACACACACACACACAAATAAAATTTAAAAAAAAAATGGTCCTTTGTTTATATCCCTTCTTTGTTTACTTTTAACAGACATATTAAAGTTCAGAGATTTCACTTCCATCATAGTAGCATGATCCCAAAGGCAAACAGTTTTGTCATCATCTGAAAGAATCTGTTTATCCTCCCTGCACCACAGAGCCTTTTTAATACCATTAAGTGTGACCACTGATTTCTTTAGGTTCTGCTTCAGGTTTAAGTCCTATATGTGTAGCAGTTTGTCTTGTCCCCCATTTAACAAGTAATTGCTATCCTGAGTGAAATCCAGTCTTGAAAATGTGTTTGGGGGCCAAGGTCATCAATTAATATCCCAAGACAGCGTCCTACACTTTAGCTTTGAAATCTGCAGCTGCCGTAGCTGCTTTGGTGGCATCCTTAGTGTTGCGCCCCAAACAGCACCTTTATGACCCCAAAATGTCCAATTCAATCTCCTGTATCTCCCTGGTGTAACATAGGTTTTCCATCTTTGCAAGCACTGATTAAAAAAAAAAAAATACCCGTAGGGCTGGATATGCTAAAGGCCAAGTCGACCACGGGCGGGGGCGTGTGGCCAAAGTGGATGAGCCGTGTATGCCTCATGCCATGGCAGTGACCGGGCTCTGGGGCGAGAGTCGTTGTCGTCCGTCCTTTCTCTCTGCTGGCTCCACAATCCACCCGCTCCCCACCCTTGCTCTGGGGCTGGGCGGGGAAACAGGAAAGGGAGGCAGATCTGGTGGCACCGAGGTCTGAGAGGGGCTTAGGGAGGGACCAAGGAGTCAGCCTCAGCTGCTAAGGTAGGGAGAGGAAGGGAGGAATGTAGGGGAGAGGGAGAAACGGACCACCGGCCCAGCCACTATCGGCACCATCTACAGGGTACCGACCGGAAGTGATGCTTCCAATTTATAACTTTTTTTTTTGGGGTACAGGGTCTCACTACACAGTTTGGACTCCTAGTGATCCTCCTGTTTTCAGCCTCCCCAGCAGCTGGGATTACAGGTGCAAGCCACCACCCCCACACTCTGCCGCTGGCTCAGTGTGCCTCTGGGATGGAAGGGGCCCGCATGGCAAGTTATAACATTTTCATAATTTTTTAAAAAAATGTATTTAGTACAGGGTCTCATTACACGGATCGGATTTGTAGTGATCCTGTTTTTCAGCCTCCCAAGTGCTGGGAATACAGGCACCCGACAAAGTGCCCAGTCTCTGTCACCATCTCAGCGCGCCCTGGGGGGTGGGCCCTGGGGTGTGGGCCCTGGGGGGTGGGTGGGTGGAGTGGGCCCTGGAGGGGGGGATAGAGGGGGGGTCAGCACGGCAGATGGGGGATCAAACCACGGCCCCTGCGTCTGCCTAAGCAGGAGCTTTAATTCGCTGAGCTATCTGGCCAGCCTTGTCTTCTCTTCCCTTCTCTTCCTTTTTTTCTTTTCTGAGACAGGGTCTCCATATGTAGCCCAGGATGGCCTTAAACTCGCAATGATCCTTCCACCTCAGCCTCCTGTGTGGTGGGATGACAGGCATGAGCCACCACACTTGGCATATAAATATGTTTTTAATGGATTGAAGAACAATTCATCAAATGGGTATTCTGTAAGTTAATCATGCCATGATTTCTCAATGTAATTCAGGTGGTTTTATATTTTACATTTGGCCATTTTAAGCACATCTGTATCTCCTGAACATCTTTACAGACAAGTTTTTTCTTAGGAGTTTTCAAAAAGATTTTTGGAGCTGCAGTTTGAGAAGAGGTATGGGCACTTAAAAAGCTTTTTCCTTATTTTTAAGTACTGGAGCCCAGGACCTTCATGCTTAGATATCACCCCAGTCCTTTTTAATTTAATTTAATTTTTTATTTTGAGATAAGATCTAACTAATTTACTAGGTGAGACCCCAACTGGGTGTCCCCCCAAAGTGTGGGGTTTTCAGGCATGCACAACCACATCTCACTTAAGCACCTTTGATGCATAAGGTCAAATTGCTTTTCAAAAGTTTTAACAAATTTACCCTTTTATTAGCAGTGTATGAAAACCTGCATATTACTCCATGCTGCAAATTATTTTTAGGAACTATTTTCACGAAAGATTTATGAAAGATATATTTATTATTTAACCTATGTTACTGAGCCCCAATTATGTACCAGTGGCTGTTTTATGCCCTGAAGGTACAGGAGGCTGTGTGACAGATAAAGTGCTCACCTTCTTGATCCTTACATTCTGTGTGAAACTAAGCCATTAAACTCGTGTTTCCTGAAGTGTGGGTATTAGCAGATGTAATACAAATCAAAAGCTCTGAGGTCAGTTACACCTGAGAAACTCTACACTCTCTATTGCATTGATAATTAATTATAAGGAAACTATAAAATTGCATTGCAACAGAAAGGGGCCCTCATTTTAGTTTGTGTTTATCTCATATCCCTTGTGCATCTCCAGAATGCCTTAAATTTGAATTTGAAGTTTAGGAAATGTTTCACATACGTGATTTCATTTGCATTTTCAGTGTTAGGAAAACCCTAAAATGTAAGTATGCCTGATATACATATGTATTTGGTATACACACATATTTTTGAACCATAGTCTCATGCAGTTCGGGCTGGCCTTGAACACCCAGCCATCCTCTGCCTCAGCTTCCCAAGTGCTGGAATTACTGGTGTGTGTCACCACACTGGGTTCTCCCATATTTTATAGGTGGTGAAATGGCCTGAGTACTGTTTAGGGAGCTTATCTAGGGGCAGACAGTTTGGGTGTCAAAGCCAGGCACCTGCTCTGGGCCCAGTCTCTTTCTACTGCTCTGGTTTAATGAATGAGTGAATGCTTCAAGATGTCTTCCTGGGCATGGGACTTTGATGCCACTGTGTTTTGGTGATGTGGACAAAAAGTGAAACACAGAGTCCTGAAGCCTGACACATGAGTCACACCGTCCTTCTGCCTGCTCTTGGTTCCCTGACCACCCCCTCCCATCTCCCAAGCTCACTGTAGGAAATCACTGGGGAGGGGGCTGAGG